CCAGTATATATATATATATATATATATATATATATATATATATATATATTTAAAGCATATATATATATACACCCCCATCCTTTCACAATCTGTTTGTGTAGGTTCCCCGGAACCATACACCCCGCACAACCGGTAACAGTAAGGCCCTGAGCACACAGCCGAGTAGCCTGCAATAATCTTCTTCCAACAATAAACCCCCCAGATAAAACATTTCTCCGTCAGTAAACGGAGATATCAAAAATTAAAACATAATTCATATCAGATATCAGAACAGAATCCAGATCAGAATCAGAACAGAATTCAGGTAACGTATCAGAACAAAATTCAATTCGGAAATCAGATAAAATATTTATATAAATAGGGAACACACCGAAGTTTACAGGTATTATTTGGAGGTACTGTATCAGGTAGAGAAACACAGTTATTCAGTATGCCGATTGAATATCGAAATTTAGAATCACTATTGGAATAGTTCAATATCTGACAAAATCATCAATTATTCAGAATATGACTTGAGCTATAAGGAAGAAATGAAGATTCAGGACATTTACAATCTATGTCGATTGATCGGATTATCAAACAACTCTTAAATGAATAGCTCCCAAAATTAATTCTTGTCGATTGATCAATTCATTGTTCTTCCAGGGTATTTACTCTTTAATACCACAAACTCTTATCCATAGATTATTTTTCTGAATCATCACTGAATAGATCTTCCAATGTCTTTATTTTATTTTTACGCTTCCAATATATCATGAAATACTGACGTGCTTGATTTGTAGTTCATGATCTAGATGAACAGTACATTGTGTATGTTCATTAACGTTTCCAGACTCATTCACATCACTTACTTAATCCTTAGTGCTTGAGGTTGCTTAGTTCATTTAGCATTCAAGTCTATTCCAGTTACTTCGGGATTTTCCAGAGTAATTCCGTACGTTTCTGAATTTCAGATACATATTGTACTTCCGTTCAGTTCAGTTTGGTCTTCGTGGTTGATTTGTCGAACAAATATCCAATTCTTAGTACCGAATGCAATCTAGAGTTGAGCTGAGCTGAATACTTCCAAAATTATCATTGAGCTAAACTTGAGTAGACGAACATGTATTCAAGTAATATCTATTTTCGTTCAGGTACTGACATATTATTAAGGTTGATCGGCTTACTTAAGTTATGTTCCATAACTTTTAAAGGTAGTCCAATACCTATGCTTATTTGGATTCCTTAATTAATCCAAGGTATTTACTTAGTTTAGGCCATAAGGTTATTTTGGTAATTTTGGTGTTCAGTTTTATTCCATTTATTTCAGAGCTCGAGGATATCCAATCATTCCTGAGCTTGGTGATATTCTTGGGTCATTTCCATTACATGGGTATTTTGGTCATTTTACAGATCTACGGTATTTCAATCTTATGCTGCCATTCGGTCTTATTATTTAATTCAATCTTATCATTTACTTCAGTCCTTTTGAACAATTCTGACAACAGAATACCCCCGATAAATTATTCTTCAAGTATTTACTCATTATTCGAATATTTACGGGCCAAGTGTCTTCTCAGATTTTACAAACGGAATATCAGGAATTTTCCTGCACTAAGTCAGGATCTTAACAATTAAATCCATACTTAATCGAGTTAAGTATGAATCCCCTAAGTATTTTTCTCATTCAGAGTCAACTAGATTATTCTACCTCTTAAAGGCATTTCCATAATTTCTTAACCAGATAATTTCGATATTAGCTCTTAACGAAAATAATATAATTTAGAGATCCTATGATTAATTGCTTTCTTGAATACTCTCTGATCTTGAAACGGTTCTCTTAACAAACTTCTAGTATTCTTCACAAACTCTCATAGGATTAAAAACCAGTTATCCATAATTTCCAAATAAAACTAACATTTCTTATGGACATCAATATTTTATCAGATCAATATGTCTGTAAAATCCTCTTATCTAACTTCCATATTCAAATCTTGTCTTTTTATAACATAAGGGTATTTTCGTAATTTTACCCTACCAGAGTATTCTCATAATTTCTCATCCAAGTACCTTTAACATTTAACCTTTGATGAAATAAATTATAAGTTGCAGATACAGGGCTGATTTCTTTATCACTAATCACAAACTTGTAATTTAATCTAACAATTTCTCAATCTCTTATATTAGTCATTCGATCCGTAATCAGTTACAGAATTTCTACCACATCATATCAAGTGTATAAATTATTCCACTCCACCAAAGTGACCAACATTATCTTGTTCATGCATTTATCAATATAAACATGTTCCATAAAGCATAAAGAGGTAGTAAAGTATTACCTCGATTACTGTGCAATACTGATCGACCATAAAAATTCCATTCGAACACCTTTGATCTTAAATTCAACTTCCAATATTTCCTCGGATCCAAATAAACAGAAATTACATCAAAAACGGAGTTTAATTCTGAAAAACGGATCGAATCGGATGATAAATCAGTCAAAAACAGCTTACCGGGTTCGAATTTGGCAAAACCGACTTTGGATTCGGATTCAGAACGTTGAAAGCATAAAATATGGCTTTTCCAAAATTTGGAATCTTCGGTCAAAATCAAAGTCAACGGGTTTGACCGGCAATTTCGAGGGCTTCGGGTTTGAATTTGGAGAAACGGAATGCGGAATCGGATTTGGAACGTCGAAAAATATCAGGATAAGTATACTCAGTCAAAGTCAAAGGTCGTTTAATGCCCGGTCAAAGTCAGTCAAAGTTTTTGGTCAACAATGGTCAACGGTCAACGGGTCGGGTCAATAGGTCGGGTCAGGTAAACGGGTAAACGGGTCGGGTCGGGTTGTGACTGGTCAAACCGGTCAAATGGGTTACAAAACTGGTCAAACCGTTCATTTTTCCTTCCCCACGCGCAGTGGCGGCGCATGAACAGTGCACTGATATCGGAAAATTCTCGAAAAAATTTCTAAAAATTATTTTAATCGATTTCGATATACTTACAAAGCTCGGTTCAATTTTTTTGAACGACGGAGAGCTCGATTTCAACGAATCGGAAACTTTGATCGCTTCACCTCCAAACGTGCAGCCACCGCCGGAGAAAAGAGAGGACACCGGTGGACTCGGAACGGCTCAAGGAACACGATGGTGCGGGAGGTGTCGTAAACGGATGACCCGATCGTCGTGAATCGATGAAAAACCAACTAAAATCGAGTTATTACCGACGATACTTCCGACTGAAATTCACGACGAACGGTGATGATTCACGACAAACGGTTTGAGGGGTTTTGTTCCTCGGTTGACAACGAACACGATGGTAGTTTCGGCTCGTCGATCGGAGGTCGGACGGCGAGTAGATCGGAGTTGGAAGGAGGGTTGACGGGATAGGAAAAACTGGAAAAATTTTCAGAAACATACGGGAGATTGGGGGTATATATCATCTCATAATTAAAAATGGCTAAACCAAGAGTTTAGCTACTGAACTTCCTGCACTTCATAAAACAGTCTGTCAACTTTAAAATTTTGCAATTTAACCCACTATTTCTTTCAAAATACCAAATTAAATCCACCACTTTTTAATTTCTTAAATTTAGCCCCTAAATTGGGGTGTTACAAATATAATTATATAACTATAATTAAAAAATAAATTTGGGGTTAAAAAAACCATAACAAAATGATATTGTTTGGTTTAATTTTTTTTAAAAACAATCTCACATGGCTAAGAAACATAGAAGAGTATCCCAAAAGTCTAAAGAGTAAAAATATGAGAACAAAACAATCTCACATTGTTAAGAAACATAGAAGCGCATTACAACTAATTTCTATAAATAATAGAGGTAATTTGGCATTCAAAATCATGGAGTCTTTTGGTGAGCATTGAGTGAACTATTCTTTCACTTCAATCAAGCTCGAATTTTAGGCTTCAATCGAGCTTCTTATTTTTTTTTGAGTTCAAGCCTTTTTGAGTTCAAGTTTCAATATTATATTTCGAGTTTGAGTTGAACTTAATAATTTTTAGCTTGTGAGTTTGAGTTGAGTTGAGCTTATTTTTAAAGTTTTCAATTTCGAGTCGAGCTCAGCAATACTCGAGTTCGATTTGGCTCGTTTAACAAACGACGTTGTTTGGTTTAATTTTTTTTTTTAAAAAACAAAAATCCTGATTTTTCCCGGTGTTTCCCGGTTTTTCCCTGTTTTTTCCGATTTTCAGCCGGTCTGATTCGAACGGTTCAGCGGTTCTAGCCGGTTCACTAATAGCGGTTCAATCAGTTTAGATTGAATCGAACTAAACAACAATTTCCGATTAAACCGTTTGAATCGATCAATCCGATCCGATTTTCAAAACAGAGTTCTTTAATGTTTAGTATGTATATGAAATCTTTTTAACTATTCAATATGAAAAATTGGAATTCCCAAGTAATGGCCCACATCGTTGACTCTCAAACCCAAATAGACTAGTAATAGAGTAAAAAAATTATCTCGCGGTAAGAGAAAACTTAACTAAAGTAATATAATTGGTGTAAAATATGAAAGTCGGTATCAAGTCCAAGATTATAAAAGGATAACGTAACTATCAACATCCTCTTTGCTTCCCTTTATCGTGTTTGTTGTCTTTCAAAATTCATAATATAAGAATGTCAAAATCACGAAATTATAATTATACGTACAAGTCTCTATAAATACACCCAATAAAAGAAGATACTAAATGTAAATTACATTCTCGGATTTATTTGATAATAATATCTCTTCAATCAAATGAAGAAAGTATGTTGGGGTTGCATATCACTTACGTAGAATAAGAAGGTACTAAATTGAAAATAATGTTGAATGAGTGTTAGAATGAAGAATAATTTTGATCGAGTGTGGAATGAGAAAATAAATTTTAAATTAGGTATATTTGGATAGAAACGTCTACATAATATAGATGATATGCATAAATTCCAAAAATGTTCAAAAATATCTAACAACGAAATCCAAGGATAAACGCATTTTTTTATCTTTATTTTGAAGCAAATCTATCTACACAGATTGATAGTTGAGTTAGAAATCAATCAAAATCCAGGAAGAGGAAGGAGAAACAAATTCGCAAGCAAATGTTGAGTAATGGTTGTTTTTCAAATATCATTACAGCAAATCCTCCATTATTGGGATGGCATCGTACCCCTACACTGGCGTCCCTCGAAACACCGCCTTCTTACTGCCACCTCCACCTCCGTTGCTTCACTCGTTGCGCCGCCGCAACTCACCCTGTCCCCGACCACCTCCTATTATCTGAATCGGATTCAGATTCTGATTGGGCCCTCTCTCCTCATCCTAACCCTAACCCTAATTCAACAGCAACCAGCAGTAACTCTGGTTCAAAGGGATCCACTGCGGGTTTCACGAGACTTAAAGCGAAAAGAGTAAAAGCCCTTGTCAAGAGGATAAAGCAAGAAGAAATAAACACTTGCGATGATGATAGAAGAGTTTCAAGGGGAGAGAGTTTCCCCAAAAATTCTGAACCGGTGGGTTCATTCGCAGCTCCTCACTTGCGAGGTTGGGCTGATGGGGGTTCCATACGTAACCCCAAATTGAAGTCACCTCACCATCTAAACAAACATCTTTCTGGGACTGATTTTTTCAGTCGAAAGACTTTTGCCAATTTGGGTTGCAGTGAATACATGATTAAATCTTTAAAAGAACAAGATTTCCTGCGCCCTTCACATATTCAGGTATTGTTTACTTACTAGTTTCCTGTGACAACTTGGTCCAGTAAGCATTGTGCCCATTGTCGAGTTTGTTTTGTCATGTCTCAACTCTCAATAGTTTATCTATTTTTCAATGTGGTGTCACATAGATATTGATAAATGACACTACAACTTACCTGGTTTGATTTGTCGAAATCCATTTAGCATGTGAAATAAATTAAAAATCCTGAATCACTGCAGGCCAAGGCTTTTGGACCTGTTATTGAGGGACATAGCTGTATTATTGCTGATCAAAGTGGCTCGGGGAAGACATTAGCATACCTTACACCTGTGGTTCAGCGTCTTAGGGAAGAAGAACTCCAAGGAGTTAGCAGGTCATCCTCTGGCAGCCCTCGTGCAGTTATAATTGTACCAACAGCTGAATTGGCATCCCAGGTCAGTTTCTTGTCTCATTTTCCTTTTTGATGTTGTCGTTTCTCTGTTTATTGCTGCGTTAAACAATATGCATCATTGTAACCTATTAGCATTGTGCTGTCTCTCGTCAGTATGGTATTTACTTTCTCAATCTGTTCTGAGTATAGCTAAAAGTAATTTATGCGAATGAAACTTTGATTGCATTTTCTAGCTTTAGAGCTTAAGATCACTGCATTCTTCCGCTAGCAGTATGCCTCCAGCTCCAGTATTGGAAGCTTTAAACTTCTATTCCTTCCCTATTAATCCCTTTTCTGGAGTCTGTAATCAAGGTTGAAATTTGCTTAAATTTATATTCCAACTGGAAATAGGAAAAGAAAAAAAAAGTTGAATGTGCAACTGAAATGAGTGAAAAACAAGAAATGGCCAGTCTACATGATTCTTTTCTTTCATTCTAGCTTGAAGGTTTTGATCATATCAGCTTGCCAAAAATGGTTTATCTGATCGTTGTATAGAGTTTTGAATGATAGGACCACAGGGTTTATGATTAATACTTTCTTTTATAGGGAAAACATCTTTTAATTTGTAATGATGATTGAGGAGTTTCTTCTATATACCTTGGATCCATCTACTGTTTATAGTCATGATTTTGTAAATGCGGTGCCTGGAAATTACTCATCGGTACATGGTTTGCTTTTCTCCAACTGTAAATTTTTGTTGGATTGAGTTGATTCTTGGTATAATTCTTCTCTACTCAACTGTTCTTAAAGACAAGCAGCTAAATTCCACATGTATGAAAAACAGCATAACTGCAAAACCATTGAATTTGTTTTCACTATTGCTTTTCAAAAGGTAGAGTGACATCGAGTTATTGAACCTGAGGAATGCAAAGTTTGTATTTAAGAGAAATTCATAATGTAGAAACCTCAGTGCACTTTGCTTAATTGAAAAGTGGATACTTTTTGCTGCTATGCTAAGTTGCATACAATCTTGTAGGAATCCTCTCCATGGCAACATGGTGGTTGCTTATTGCAAGTAAAATTTTTGCAGGTCTTGAATAGTTGTCGGTCATTGTCGAAATCTGGGGTTCCGTTCAGATCTCTGGTTGTAACTGGTGGGTTTCGGCAAAAAACTCAGCTGGAAAATCTAGAGCAAAGTGTTGATGTTTTAATAGCAACACCGGGTCGTTTCATGTTCCTAATTAAAGAAGGCTACCTGCAATTAGAAAATCTTAGGAGGTAAGTTAAATTTCCTTAAAAACTGCTTCATTTATTTACCTTAATTATATTCAATTGTCATGGGGTCTTCAAATTTCTAGGGCATTCTAAGTGGGGCTTTTTAATAATGATACCTCTCTTATATCTATTTTATGTTATTCCCTTCTCTCCTTATCCTTACTTTACATTCCTTGTGGTAAATAAATATGATAATGCATACCTAACCATTTACATTGCTGCATAAAGTCTAGTTTAGTTTTTTCCAGCTCCTTTTTGTCTTGTTGAGAGATTACATTTGGGCTCTTGGTGTGGTAGCATTTATTCGAGTATCATTTCTGACTTCTTCTTGTCGCCCTTGAAACAAAATTATTGTGCAGTTTCATGGTCTATATTGACAAACATGAACTTTTTGGACTGAGTTTTGTTCTCGATAGAAATGTTTCCATGCCTGCATCACACTGCAAAGGAAAGCACTTATTATTAGTTTTTTCCCCAAAGCAGCAGCAAGGATTTAACTTTACCCATTTGTGCCTAGAATACACTCAAACGATCTATTCAATTGCCTGTATTGCAGTGCTGTTTTTGATGAAGTGGATATACTTTTTAACGATGAGGATTTCAAGGTTGCATTGCAAAGTTTGATAGACTCTGCACCTGTCGTAACGCAATATCTATTTGTCACTGCAACTTTGCCCATTGAAATATACAACAGGCTGGTTGAAGTTTTTCCTGATACTAAAGTGATCATGGGACCTGGCATGCATCATATAAGCTCTGGTCTTGAGGAGGTTGGCTCTCATTTCTTTCTTTGTACTCAGTTTGTGTCTTTAGTTATTTTCATTATTAACTTGCTCCGGAATTGGAACTTCCTATTTGACGTATGTTATTAGCTCGGTCTTTTACATATTAGTCTTAATTAACATTTTATGTTCACTCCAAACTAAGTACTCTTATTTTCTTTTAAAACAATTTCTAGCCCGAACCAGAATCTCCCACGTTCTTGTTTTGACCATGGATGGAGATGCTGTTTAGTTGTGCTACCTGCTAGAATTAGGGACCATAATTGTTAATGAACTTTACTAGTTGTAAAATTTTTCAAACTTTTCAGGCTTTTCTCAAAACAGTTGTAATTTCGAAAACCATAACTAATGAGGTTTGTCATGATTTTAGCACGTAAAATCATACTTATGACTTCTTGAATTCTTCATCATTGAGTGCTCGCCATGAGTGTTCGTAATGATAAAATGTAAGAGTTCAGCAAGTATTTTTATGGATATGGTGAACCAAAATTACATGAATGATCAATAAAGCCTATGGGCAATAGTTACCTAAATACTCTTTCAACCTTTTAAAATTACAATAACTCATAACAAGTAGTTTGTTTAGTTACGTTCCAGAGCTAAGACCTCATACTACGATAAATAAGAGTCGGCTTCCTCTTTGTAGGGTTGAAGAATTTTCCTCTTATAAACTTTTAAATGGTTCATGTGAGTCGGTTTAACTGCCTTCCCACTTAAGGAGGAACTTTTGAAACCCTTACCATTGTGGGAAATACAAATTTGGTGTCCATAAACATATCCTTTATCATGAAAGTGTGCAGCTATTCTGCAATCTGTTATACCATTTCTAGATCTGTGATAAGGACTAAAATCTTTCTAATTAAATATATGGCCGTGCCTTTAGAATCAAACTTTGTGAGGACATGTGGATAAATGGTGGTATCATATCCTAAAGTTAGGTTTCCTAGAACTTTTTCTTTCGCTTTGTCAACAAACTAGTCAGGTTCCCTTTTGTGTGGTGATTGGAATAAGTTGTATGATTAATGAATATTCTTAATTTTCTTTGTAATGAGTAAAATCCAATCTGCACATGTAGGTTCTCGTAGATTGCAGTGGAGAAGAAGGGACTTTAAAGACTCCAGATACAGCATTTCTTAATAAGAAGAATGCTCTTCTGAAGCTTGTGGAAGAAAGCCCAGTTCCCAAAACAATTGTGTTCTGCAACAAGGTATGCGTGCACGGAAGGATAGCCTTCCTGATTGAAATTTCTTGATGAGATTATTGTAGATTCATCGTATTTTGACATTTTTCTTCTCCATTATCAGATTGAAACATGCAGAAAAGTCGAGAATGTACTAAAACGTTTTGATAGGAAAGGAACTCATGTGCGAGTCCTACCGTTTCATGCTGCCCTGTCACAAGAGACGCGACTTATAAACATGAAGGAATTCACCCATTCTCAACCTGGAGAAGAATCATTGATATTGGTTTGCACTGATAGGTAGTGTTTCTCACTGTCCAAACAAAATGATATAAATATGGCTAGTACTATCTTCTTCTGTCTCCTTTTTTCTCCTACTTGTTTATAAAGATATAGCCTGTATGTCTCCTTCCTATATGGTGGGTTAAAATAACCTTGGAAAACTGATGGCAGAGCATCACGTGGAATAGACTTCTCTGGTGTGGATCATGTTGTACTTTTCGACTACCCTCGTGATCCTAGTGAATACGTGCGCCGTGTCGGACGAACTGCCAGAGGAGCTTGGGGAACGGGTAAGGCATTCATCTTTGTCATTGGCAAACAAGTTCCTCTTGCGCGAAAGATCATTGAAAGAAACCAAAAGGGTCATCCGTTACACGAGGTTCCGGCTGCGTTTTGAAATGATGAATTGAGCTAGGTGTCAATCACTGGTGCCTTGGAGTTTGTGGCAAGTTCCTCTTTTGGTACATTTCCAATCAAGTTGTAACATAAAACAACTCACTCAATCTCACTCTTATTAATCACAATGATAGAGAAATCTCAACATCTTCAAGAATGATCGTATACTCGCCACAAGAGAGAAACGTGTTTTTGGTGGTGTTTACTGCAGTTATAACTTCCAACTACTCCAGACATGTAATAAAATTTAGCTTGATTCAAATATCACATTAATAATAATATCATAATTCTGTTACTTATAAATAACAAAATTAATTTACTAAGAATAATGAAATTTCTTGAATAAATTAATTTATTCAAATTTTTATTAATATGAGATGTTTACAAGATAATATATATTCATAATTTTTTTAACCCTTAGATCCATAACCTCTAGGAGACCCTACCCTTAACCAATGAAGTCATTTGACGCCTCAACAAATTTAATTTACATATCATATATTATTAATAAGTTTAAATGTTTTTTTATGTCTAATATTAACATTTTTATTTGTAACTGTAAAATAAATTAATTTGATATATTATTTAAATAAGCAGAATAAATATTTATACAAAAATTAAATAATTATGTATGGAAATAAAACTTAAACTTAAAATATACGAAAAAAATTTAAATAATTCCTAAACATTATACGTAAATAAAATACAAATAAACTAACAATTATATGATAAACCAGATTTAAATAATTAAACATATAATATAAGATTGAACTAAAAATATATTAGCAATAATTTGAATAATATAGACATTGTTTAAAATATATACTTGTAAGAATATGAAATCAAATATATTTATACGTTTAATATCTTTTTGATTATAAATTAAAAAAAAATCAATAATAGAAATATTATTTAAAATATATATATTAAAAAATTAAAACAAAAGTCTTCATTAACGATAATCTACTTCTCCAATTACGAGAATTGACATTTTCTTGAACACTTTGTTATTTCCAAAATAATGTGTCGGCCTCTCCGCCTTTGCTATTCTCTAGCTAAACGACATTATGTTTTATTATAATAATAATAATAATAATAATAATAATAATAATAATAATATTATTATTATTATTATTATTATTATTATTATTATTATTATTATTATTATTATTTTATAGCGTAGGATCGAAGTTAATTGCATCATATCTATATGAACTCTGATGCTCGTTTTAAAATGATTTTTAAATTTTTGAATATTTTAATTTTATTTTAAAAGCATGATTCTCATTTTAAATTAATTCTTAAACTTTTCAACATTTTAATTTCATCCTAAACTATGACCCTTATTTTAAATTAGTCCTCAAATTTTTGAATCTTCCAATTTCATCTCTAAATTCATCCATATATATATTTAGTGTCAACCATAGTTTAACTTAAATTTTATTTTTTAAAACATATAATAATATAGCTTGACCTAACGATTTTATTAACAATTGATGTGATTAGTATATACATACAATTTTTGGGGTGAAATTGAAATATTCAAAAAGTTTAGGGACTAATTTAAAATGAAAGTTATAGTTTTAAGATGAAATTAAAATATTTAAAAGTTTGATGATTAATTTAGAATGAAAATTATTGTTTAAGGAAAAAATTGTAATATTTAAAAGTTTAGAGACTAATTTTGTAACCCCTAGACCCGGCCTATGCGTTTCGACTAAGGCTAGTGGATCGCATTATAATTATTAAAGACATTTTTCGCAACCGTTATTCCATCAATATAAAATCACATTATAAATAACATGAAATTATAAACAATTTATACTATCAAAATCCAACTCTTAAATATAGTACAAATAAATAATAATTTAATTTAAAACATGTCTTCAAATTCAAAATCACAATAAACCGAGCAGTAGTAGCAAAAGTGTTATCATTATAAAATCCGATATTTTAAAATAAGGTCCATGTCACCAAAATAAAGTCAACTTGCTAGATAAAAACATTACAATCTGATTTACTTCAAGAGATATGTTGATCCTCCAAGTGCTCGAACCAAGGTATCTACCCAACAGTATCTGAAAGGGGGAAAACATTTTCAAAAGGTGAGCTAGGCTCAGTGTGTCCCAACATTTCCATAAAATCACAATAGGTACAAATCATAGTCCAGTAATCTTACAAATTCGTAAAAGAGTTTAACTTTTTGAAAATCATAGTTTAAACCCTTTTCTGGTACACCATCAGTAGTTCCCAAAATTATTTTCCATATAGCTTACTTTATGCACATAGCAAAAAAGAAAGCCGACTTAAGGATATGCTCTGAAGCTTGTATCCTTAAGCCCAAGTCAATAAGTCCATATAGCTTACCCTAAGCACACAGCAAAGGAAAGCCGACCTAATGAAACATCTTGGGGCCCTCAAGAGTCACATTAGGCCCAGTTAGCTTGATCAGAGCTATTCCATCGTAATTCAATTCCAAAAATTCAATTGCACCGTGACATAAATTCCATAAATCCAAAAACATGGTAATCATATACCATTTCAAAACAAAAATTAGATAGCAGCCATATTCCATAAATTGTCACATTAAATTGGTGCATCCATAAAACAATAACCAATGAATTCGGTGTACCACATATTAAAACCAATAAAACAGTTCAATAATAAGTAGGGAACACACCTCGACAATAGATTCAAATAACAAATCTACTGATTGCTGGTTTCACCACGCTCTGCTACAGTTTTCGAACGGGTGAATACTGGCACACGTGGTTTAACTGATCTAGAAGAGCTGGGTCGAGCTGTCGAACGATCCGGAGAGTCTCTTGTACCTTCAAACAATAATAATCTATCAGTCCCAAATCCTATTTAATTGTTCAAAGCTAGTCTTCTTAAGTATATAAGCATTTTTCGAGTTTGACTATCAAGTTGGGGTATTTCGAGTCTGAATTTGACTAAACGGATTGCGGAAACGGAATCAGGACGTCGAAAAATATAAAGTATGACTTTTTGGAAATTCAAATTCATGGTCAAAGTCAAATTCAACCACTTTGACCGTCGATTTGGAGGCCTTCGGGTTCGAATTTGACGAAACGGACAGTGGAAATGGATTCGGCACGTCGAAAACTATCAGGATAGGTATACTCGGAAAAGATTAACGGTCGTTTAATGCTCGGTCAAAGCCATTTTAAGTTTTGGCCAAATAAAGTCAACGGTCAACGGTCAACGGTCGGGTCGGGTCAACGGTCGGGTCGGGTCAGACCGGTCAAACTGGTTCAGACCGGTCAAATCGGTTCGAACCGGTTGAAACAGGTCAAACCGGTCAGAACCGGTTGAAAACCGGTTAAACCGGTTTCCAGCAGCCACTCGCCCTGCGGCGGTGCGTGTGGCGCGTGAGGCGTCCTCCGGGGCCCTAAAAATCCCGGAAAAATTTCTAAAAATTATTTTGAGCGATTTCAAGATATTTACAACGATCGGTTCAAATTTTTGAACGGCGGAGAGCTCGATTTCAAATCGGCCGAATCTTTGACTGCACCACCTCCTCACGCGCCGCCGTCTACGGCGGACAAGGTTGACACCGATGAACTCGGAACGGCACAAGGAACACGATGGTGCGGGAGGTGTCGTAAACGGAGCAACGATCAGCGGTTAATTTAAGATTTCCTCGGCGATAGAGCTAACAAAACCGTCGCTACTTTGACTGGAAATTCCCGACGTTTGGCTGCGTTTCGCTTCAATTAATTTGAAGGGTTTGTTCCTCGCTCGATGATGAACACAACGGTGGGTTTAAAACGATGATCGGAATTTGGACGGCGTCGGAATCGGAGTTGGAAACTGCGTATGGGAAAGGAAAATTGGGAGCATTTTGGTTCTGAAAATTAGAACCAAATGTACGCTTATAATCAAAGCTGCCGACAGTTTTAGGGTAAATTCAAGGCTTGGTCCTTGGATTTCCTTCACTTCTAAAATGGCCTATAAACTCTCATAAATTTTGATTTAGTCACCAACAATTTACCAATTTTCATAATTAACCTCCAATTTCAATTAAATACTATTTTGTAAATATTCGGGTTGTTACAAATTTAAAATGAGAACCATAATTTAATAGCGTGATACAATTAACTCTTATTATCTTGATATAATCTTCTTAAGATTGAAATCTTAATTAATATTAGATCGGAGATCGATGAGACAATACTTCTTCTTACAAAATAGCTACTTTTTTTAAAAAAGATAATATAACTTAACGTAAAGTACGCAAATGATTCTTTGATTATAGGGTTTTGCTTAATTCAGAATGAAAGTCATAGTTTGAAGATGAAATTAAAATATTTGAAAGTTTAATGACTAATTTAGAATGACATTTATAATTTAAGAATAAAATTGTAATATTTAAAAGTTTAGAGACTAATTTAGAATTAGAATCATAATTTAATAACGTGATGCAATTAACTCTTGTTATCTTGAATAATCTTCTTAAGATTGAAATCTTGATTAATATTAGATTGGAGATCGATGAGACAATACTTCTTCTTCTTACAAAATAACTATTTTTTTAAAAATATAATATAACTTAACGTAAAATACACAAATCGTTCTTCGTTTATAGGGTGTTGCTTTGTTGAGTCTCAATTATTAAAAGTTACAAAATGATCCACTAACTGTATGATGTTGTTTTGTTGAGTCCCCAACTATTAAAAGTTACGAAATGGTATCTGACTATTCATATATTCTAAACGTGTCATTTTTTGTTGAAAAAATTGTGGTCGTTTGAGTTTGATGTTAATACATTGACTGTGATATAAAATCTGATCCTAGAGCTGTTTGAGCTATATTTTGTAGATCGAATTTTCATTTACATTAAATCTTCGAGCCACTGCTTGAAAGCGATGGCGATGCCAATATACATCATTAAAATATAATTTTATCATATCTTAGTCAGTAGATTAACGTCCAACTCAGACGACTCTCAATTTTTAACAGAAAACGACGAGTTTGGAACATATGAATAGTCGAGTAATTATTTTTTAACTTTTAATAGTTAGGAGACTCAACAAAATATTACCAGGGGACTATTTTGTAACTTTTAACAGTCATATGACTTAACAAAATAACACCCTATAATTGGGGACCATTTATGTACTTTACCCATAACAGATTACTTCTTCACTTGAGGTGGCTCGGCTTCATATGCTCTTTTAGTCCTTTAAATTCATCTACTTTTCTAATCTTAAGTCGCTCAAATCTCGTTGAAATAGTTTCATATTTACAAGTAAAAATGTCTAGCGCCAATAAACCTATGCCAAAACTTCCATTAAAAGTCAGATTTCTCATTGCAGCTCATTCCATGACCGTGGCTGCTTTCAGCCGTCCCGACGGCAGCGCCGTGAACCGACGTCTCATGAATCTTTTCGACCCTAAAGCCTCTCCTGCAACAAAGCCTGATAATGGCGTAGTGTCTTCTGACATCATGGTTGACACCACCCGCAAACTTTGGTTCCGCCTATACACCACCACCTCCGGTGACCAAATGGACATTCCCATCATAGTCTACTTCCACGGTGGAGGCTTTGCGTACATGGCGGCCAATTCAATGAACTACGACGACTTATGCAAGCGACTTGCGCGTGAAATCCCTGCTGTGGTCGTTTCAGTCAACTACCGTCTCTCGCCTGAGCACCGGTTCCCTTCGCAGTACGTCGACGGTTTCGACGTTTTGAAGTTCATCGATAGCTCAGATATTGAAGGGTTTCCAGCTTTTGGAACCAGCAAGAAGCCATTTTTTGTTGCCGGAGACAGCGCCGGTGGTAACCTGGCGCATCATGTGGCACTCAAGGCTTGCCAGCACGAATTTTCCCGATTGAAGCTTCGTGGAGTTATAGCTTTACAGCCTTTTTTCGGTGGAGAAGAAAGAACAGAATCGGAACTCAAACTCGTTGGGGTCCCATTCATCTCTGTGAAGCGTACGGATTGGATGTGGAAGGCATTCTTGCCACACGGCTGTGACCGGGATCATCAGGTGGTAAATGTGTTTGGACCAAATTCTGTCGATATTTCAGAGTTACCATTTCCACCTACACTGGTTGTTATAGGAGGATTTGATCCTTTACAAGATTGGCAGAAGAAATACGTGGAGGGATTGAATAAATGTGGAAAACAAGTGTACAGCGTTGAGTATCCTGATGCTTTCCACGGCTTTTATGCGTTTCCCGAGCTGCCTGAATCACCCTTGCTAATGGCTGAGCTCAACACCTTCGTGCACAATCAGTTGACTTGATCATGGATTTAGATTATAGTTATGATTGTGTTTTTTATTACGTTATGTTTATCGTGATTGTGGTAATAACATTTGCTATTACGATTATTGTGAATATCAAAATTATAAAATAATGGTTTTAAACATTATCTTTATCATTGTATAACAATGTTATTCTAATAGCCGATAATTTAAATCACTGCTAATAGCTCTCTTTTTTTCTGTCTTCATTTTCCATTTTCAATGCGTGCCGGCTCGTGATAACAACTTTTATGTTCTGCACTTCTGCTTAACTTATATGCGTGTAATAAATCAACAGAATATTCAGTAAAGTATTCATAAATTTTTTGTTTATATTATGTTAATAAGTACGAATAAAACGAACTTAGCGGTTAAAAGGATGATTGTTATCCTTAGAGATTTTATATTAGAACACAACATTTATAATGATGTTTGAGAATTCATTATTAAATAATTTAAAATCTTTCAAACAAAATTATCTTTTAATTATTTCAGACTAATAAAAAATAAAAAAAATATTAACTAAACAAATTGAATATGGAATGAGCAAATAATTTTGATGTGGTGGTTTAAATTCAGAACAACTTATAAATGTATCGAATCTTAGATTTCGATTTCATCTTAAATTCAGACATGTTACTAATTAATGTTGGGTCATATTTAATGAGTGGTTGAGGTTTCCCACCTAATACTCAGAAATCATATTATTAACTCTCCCTTATTTGAATAGGTCTCAAATTTAAGTAACAAAAATTGTAGGATATTTAAATGCTTATAGTTAAATAACTAAAAAAATTTAGAATAAATACTATCACTTATAAATATTTTAGATTAATAAAAAAATCATAGTTTTTTTCCCTATAAAAAAAGAATTCAAGCTTTTCTACGTAAGGAAAAAAATACTTTATTTGATATAAAAAATCACTAAAACAAAAATGAAATTTAATAATTGGTAAATGACGAGACAGCCTAGCCTAATAAGCTAACTTATTCCACCACCTTTTCATCTGTCTAGAGGTTATAAATTTTTCCTAAAGGTGCGATCATTCTGTGAGTTCTTGAAGATTTTGTAAACACATTTGAAATAGTTATGAAATATTACACCCGTAAATAGATAAAAGAGTGTTGGTGCGGTCATATTGTTTAATTGTTTTTTTTTAATTTTCACATAATTTAAATATTTTTTTATATTTTTATCAATTATCTAAATTTTTATTCTTTAAAATTGTGTTATATCGCACCATTAAATTTCTAATATAATTTTTTAAGTTTGTATCCATGGCATAAAATTATATATTTATCTATGATATTAACGACACAAGATATCATTTATAACCCCTTAGACTCGGTCTATACATTACGATCAAATCTCAAAGATGAGGTATATTAACACTCTAAGGCTCTGCATCAAAAATAAAAAATATATATTAAAATTAGACATGGTACTAGAGGCTTAGAGCAAAAATATTTCATAAAATATATTATATTGAAAATAAAAATAATTACTTTATTTATAAGATTTTGGTACTCATAAAAATAAATATAAGGCAGTTGGTTGAAACTTAATTACAAGTTACCTGGAATAAACAATGAAAGGAAAATAAATTGTTAATGTTCCACACAAATTCCTCTACTTATGGTTGTTTTTGCCGTTTTACTAAGACAATATTGTAGACTTAGGGGTTGTTTGTTTATTTCAGAATGATTAAGCGTTGAATGATTCAAATGCTGAATGATTCAGAGGCTCTGAATGGTTTGACTCTAAATGTGACATGTTGTTTAATAACTGACTCTGAATGATTCAGAATATACTTATGTGTTGAATCATTCAGCACTGTTTTGCTGAATCAGTCAACACTGAATCATTCAGAGGTACGAAACAAACGCGCTCAACGCTGAATGATTCCATTAAGAGACAAACAAACAACCCATTAATTACATTAATTAAAATAAAACCCCATGGCCCATTCTTTCGTTGTCGTTGTATTAACGCAGCATTGTACACTTGAGTACTACATTACTCGAAACAAAACCCCATTGGACAATTGTTTCGTTCCAGAATCATCTAAATAAATTCAATTAAAACAACGGTAGAGTAAATAAAGGTTGGCGATTATATGGTACTGTTCTGTTAAGTCACCGATTATTAAAAATTATTAAATATTTTTTTAATTATAGGATGTTGTTTTGTTGAGTCATTCGACTATTAAAAGTTACAAAATGATCATTCGACTATTCGTATGTTTTAAACTTATCATTTTTTGTTAAAAATAGCAATCTTTTGAGCTGGACGTTAATATGTTGACATAAGAGATTATAAAATCTGATCTCATAATCGTTTGAGCTATATTTTTTGGATCGACTCTCCGTTTACATTATATCGTTTAGTTAGTGCTTGAAATATTGTGTTATCGAGCCAGTGCTTGAAAGCAACAATAGTGCCATTAGACATAATTAAAATATGATTTTATTATCTCTCAATCAACATGTTAATATCCAGCTGAGACGGTCGTCAAATTTTTAACGAAAAAAATGACGAGTTTGGAACATATGAATAGTCAAATGACCGTTTTGTAACTTTTAATAGTTCCGGGGACTCAACAAAATAACGTCATATATTCAAGAAATTATTTTGTAACTTTTAATAGTTGAGGATCTCAATAAAGTAACACCCTATAACCGAGGGACCATGTGTGTACTTTACCCTTAAAACAATAACGTTATAAGAATGGAGATAATAATATATTTAGTCCTCTACACTAACACATTATTTCAGTTTGATCCTAATTCTATATAAGCAAATCTTAAATAAATAAAACTGAAATCATGAATAAAGGTAAATAATGAAACAACGTAGTTTCTGATATGCTTTATCCTTTTCTGTGTTGATGAAGGCATGAAACACAACATACTGAACGTCCGTCAACGTACAAACAACATACCGCAATGTCCACTAATCATTAATAAAGGGAGCCGTGAGACACAAAAACCCTAGGTTATAACCAGAAATTCAAGTATCAATAGTGAGACACATTCTTGAATACAAATTACTCCAAAAAAATTTAATTTAGTTCTTTCTTCAATGAAAAGACTATACCAATCCCTTATGACAGTGTTACATGAAGAACGATCAAATACAAAACACATTTGTTTGTAAAAATATCGAAATCCTTCAAGTTCTATAAAGATAAATGGTAACTCGACTACAATAAGTATCTTAGCAAGTGTTTTCCTACAATTATCTTGATCAAATTGTCAATTTTAGAGACTTGAACAATTTTAATGGTGCCATATGAAGATCTAATTGTTTTGGATTCAAAATCAATAGATTTTTGTTTTCTATCCAAGTTTGCAAGAAATTTCGTACATTTTTCAGTAAGATTTTTTATTCCACTAGTCCCATTAGATAATTTATAAGCAATATATTTCCTACAATAATTACACTTCACCTTGTTTGGATTATTGATTATATGAAAATGATCTCAAACAAGGGATGCATTTTTTCTTTCTACTTTGTCGTTAGTTACGGTGGGATTAGAAGATTTCCTCTTCTTCTTTTTAGTTATTGTATCTCCCTCAACAACTTTTTTATTATCTTCATTCTTCGAGTCATCAATCATAGCAACATTCATCACATTATCATCAACACTATCCAATTTCATAGCTCTTTACACTCTATAAAATTAAAAAAAAAATCAAGATTAACAAATGCCGAGAACTAAACCATATGCAGTAATATATATATTAAACAAAAAACTAGAGGCAAAGCATAGAAACATAGATATGGCTAGCTATCAAAGAATTATAAACTGATTGTTCATTTTCCTTATGTATTAAACCAAATGGACTTAATGCTCACACATTGGTATAGGGTTATTGAATTAAAAGTCCAATGTCCTAACCACTAAGACCAAGGTCTAAAAATCGGTGGATTTAATTATGTAGGCTTTCACCCAAACAACCCACAAGGAGCCCTCGTCGACAAGAATACTTCTCATCAAACGAAAGAAGCGCATCTTATTCCAGCAGTGAAGGTTCTTTATGTTGAAAATAAGTGGCATCACCGAAAGTAAACCAAACTTTTGGTGAAAATTATTTGGTGGCAGCATTTGTTGACATTTAGAAAGGGCTGCAGAAATTGTTGATTTTTCAACAATGGTAGAACCTCAATTTTAGCCATTGTAAGTTAAGGTATTTACAAATTAATCATTAAGTTTCAACTATAAATACCCTAGCTCATTTAGCTTCAAAATCACCCCAAAGCATTCTAGCTTTCTTCCAATACTAGAGAGAATTTAGAGAGTTTCTTGAGAGTTGTTTTCTCCTTTTTATCGAGAGAGAATTATCATTGTTTTCTCCTTGGTAGATTGAGAGAGGTTGTAATTCCTATTTTCTCATAGTGAAATTCTTCTACCGTTGCCCGTGGTTTTTACCCTATTTTATTTAGGGGTTTTCCACGTAAATTTTGTGTCTCTTTTTATCTTCATTTTTATTTTCTCAAATTATCAGTTGCGATTTTGCTCTATCCGATAGCCGTCTTCCGCAATAATTGGTATCAGAGCTAGATTAGAGTGTGTAATATCTGCTTATTGTCTTTGTGGTTGACACCAAAAGGTGGATCCTCCAACATAAGAAAGTAAGAAGGTATTACCCATTCTTTGAAGGTTCCAGAGAACTATTCACGATAGTGAAATAGTGGGAGCTATCTGTAAAAGAAGCTATGGCAACGAAATTTGATATTGAAAAATTCAATGGGAGAAATTTCTCATTGTGGAAATTGAAGATGAAGGCCATCCTGAGGAAAGACGGTTGTCTAGCAGCTATCAGCGAAAGGCCAGTAGATTTCACAGACGACAACAAATGGATCGAAATGGACGGAAATGCTAAGGCAAACTTTCATCTAGCATTAGCAGATGAAGTATTGTCAAGTATCGAGGAGAAGAAGACAGCTAAGGAGATATGAGATCATCTCACCAAACTGTACGAGGCCACATCGTTGC